GTTGGGTGAAGTGCATCTTTGCTGAGTTTCTTTCCAGTGATTCTATCTTTCATTGAAAGTGGTGTATTAAAGTCTACAACTATGGAGTCATCTATTCACCTTTTCAATTCTGTTAGTCTCATTTATGTATTTTGGGGCTCTTTCATTGGGTCCATAGATATTTGTTATGGTTATATCTTCTTGTTCAATTGATCCTTTAATCATTATATAATGATCTTCATTGTCTCTTATGGTGGTTTCTGTCTTAAAGTCAATTTGATCAGAAATTAATATTACCATTCCTGTTCTTTTTTGGGTGCCATTTGCTTGATATATCTTTTTCCAACCTTTGAATTTTAGTCTATTTTTGTCTTTCTCTCTAAGGTCTATCTCTTGTAGACAACATATTGATGGGTTATGTTTTCTTATCCATTGTGCAACTCTCCATCTCTTGAGTGGTGCATTGAATCCATTGACATTCAGTGTAATTATTGACAACTATGAATTGGTTGCTGTCATTTTGTTATGTGTTTTTTCACGGTGATCCTTGTTTCTTTGTTCCATATAATTTTCTGTGCTGAACTCATTTTGTTTATGAATCATGTTACCATTTCCTTTGTTGGTATTGTCTTGTTGTTGTTGTTTGTCATCGAGTCGGCCCCGACTCATAGCGACCCCTCCTTGGGTTTCTGAGGCAGTATCACTACAGAAGTAGGAATGCCCAACCTTCCTTCCGAGGAGTGGCTGGTGGGTTTGAACCACCAGCCTTCTGGTTAGCAGTCAAGTGCCTTAGCCACTATGCTACCAGAGAGTATTGTCTTAGTATTTGCTAAATATTTGTGCTTGTCCTCTTTTTTATGGTGATGTGAAGGTTTACCATTTTTATTTGAAGTTACCCTGTGATTTATAATTTTCTCCTTGAGTTTAGAACAGTCCATTCTATCTTATAAATCTCTTGACTTTCTCACCATTTAGAGTTCTGTAACTACATTTTTTTCCCCCTCTTTTTGGTTTATAGTTGTCCTCATTTGCCAATTGATGTCTCTGGTTCTCTGTTTACAATCTTGTAAGCTTATTTTACTTTGGATACTTCCATAGCTGTGTTGGTTTCTGGATTATGTCATCTTGTGTATTAATGGTCAGTTGTTATTTGCTATTTTTGGTTCTCTGTTCAAAGGACTCTGTTTACTATCTCTTGTAAGGTTGGTCTAGTTTTAACAAACTCCCTTAATTTCTGCTTATCTGGAAATTTCCTAATTTCACCATCATATTTGAGGGACAATTTTGCCAGATATATAACTCTTGGTTGGAATTTTTTCTCTTTTGGGGTTTTATATATACCATCCCATTGCCTTCTTACTTGCATAGTTTCTAATGAGAAATCAGAGCGTATCCTTATGGGTTGTCCTTTGTAGGTAACTTCATTTTTCCCGTGCTACTTTCAGGATTCTTTCTTTGCCTTTGGTTTTGATAAGTTTGATGATGATATGGCTTGGTGATTTTCTTTTGGGGTCTATCCTATTTGGGCTTTGTTGGACTTCCTGAATGGATATATTATCATCTCTCATCATTATCAAGAAAGTTCTCTTCCAACAAATCTTAGACAATTTTCTCAGTGGTTTTCTTTTTTGCTTCCTGTTCTGGAATTCCAATGACACATAGGTTATTTTATTTTTGGTTGTGTCCCATATGAACCTTCTTAGCCTTTCTCCATTTTGTCTTAATCTTTTTTCTGATTGATCCCTTTCCAAAGAAGTATACAGGTATTTGTCTTCAATCTCATTAATTCTGTCTTCCATTGACTCAATTCTATTCCTTTGCCCTTTCAATGTGTTATCTAATTCTGACAATTTAGTATTAATTTTCTGGATTTCTATCTGTAGATTTAGAATCATTTCTAATTTTTCATTTATTTTGTGATTTTGTTCTTATATTTTCTTCCAAAATTGTTCTAGGGTTTTGTCTGTGTTTTCCTTAATTTTTTCAGTGTTTTCCTTGATCTGTCTCTCAATCCTTTGAAGGTACTTAAATATAATTCTTTAGAATTCCTTTTCAGGGAGTTCCAATGCTGCTTCTTCTTCAGACGTGTTCTGGGTCTGTATCCTGCTCCCTTGTTTCTATTGCTTTATCTTGCTTCTTTGTGTGGACAGTGATGATATTGAGATGTTGTTGTATTTAGATCTCTGTTAACTGTTTGTGAAGAGCAGGTAAGGATGAGTCAGGCTCTTCTTGGTGGTCGTTTATCATTGGCCAGTTGGCGTAGAAGGAAGTGGTGGCTCTCACTTAGTAAGTGGAGCTGCAGGAGGTGCAGGTGTGGTTGCATCATATAGGCACAACTGCTGTCTCCCACTCAGACAAAAATAATGATTGAAAAACCATCAAAAAAGTAAAAGTAAGCAGACAGAAAACACACCACATAAACACACCGGAACAATCACCAGAAAAAGAAAAAAGAAAGAGAGGGGAAAAAAAAAAAACATTATCTGGGGAGGAGGCAATAAGAGAAAAGATGCAGAGTAGGAGAATAATGAGGAATAAAATGGGGAAAAAAGTAAAAAGAAAAACAAGGAATGGGGTTAACCACAAGAAAGAAAAAAATGGGAAGCAGAGACAGGGAAGAGAGAAAAGGCTAAAAATTAGAACCTGGGAAGGGGATAATAAAGAATAATAATAAAAAGGATGACCAAAAAAATAATAATAGTAATAATTTTAAAACAGACAAAAACAAATAAATTGAAAAAAAATCTGGGCAGGGTGGGCCAGGACACCCAGGCTCTGTCGGAGCACAAGACTGGGATAGAATTCCTGCAGGCCCAGAATGTGGGTAGGAGTGAGGGAAAGCCACACCTCTGTTCACCAAGAGGGTGTGGGGTATAAGAGTAACAAGGGGAATATTACATCTTTCCAGTCCTTGGCGTCCAGAACGTTCTTGCGGTTCCCAGCAAGTGGACCCTATTCTTAGGTCCCTGGAATCTGAAAGAACACTGTCTCTTTAAATATCCAAAATGATCAAACTGCTCATAAACTTTCAAAATGGATGCACCCTCTGGACAGGCAAAAGTCTACAGGTCAGCCTGTCTCCCTTTTCACTGCTTCCCCTTTTATTCACCAGCCACCAGTGCAGTCCTCCATGCAGCCCCTGACTAGCAGGGAAGATTTTTAGGTTAATTCTTAGGCCCTAACACTACTTGGCAATATCCAAGCTGTCCATGCCATCAGGATTGCTGACAGTCCACAGCTCCATATGTCTCCTTTTTCAGTGTTTTCATGCAGGTTCTTCTACTAGTTGGAGTTTAGTCCACTTCTGTATCCTTCCTTTCAAAGCTCAGGGCTCCAGGATTGTCTTCTGTATCTGTGTTAATTGGTTCCCCTTTTCTTTGTTGAAGAGTGTCTGTGTAGTTTGTCTGCTTATTCAGCCATCTTACCAGAATTTAGAATACATTTTTTGCCATAAATAACAGGCTTAGGCAATTACAGGATGACTTAAAGAGGAGAATTTTTCTACCCAGAAAGAAAAAATAATTTGCTGAGCTGAGAAAGGGAGGAGAGAATCAGAGAAGAGAACAATTGAGCTCCTGGCATGGGTTCTGAGGAGGGGCCTGTGCACTCCCGGGAACCCAGGCTCGCTTTGAGACCTGGGAACCCACGGTAGCATGGGCCTGAGCCCTGCTTCTGATGGAAGCCTGGGAGGCAGGAGCCTTGCAGGTTTCCCAGTGCAACCAGAGAAAGGAGAGAAGGGGCTATGCCTGAGGAGCCAACATTCCCCAGCAGCAGAGCGAATTCCTACAGGAGGACTGGAGGTTCAAGAAGGGTGCAGAAGATAGCTGAGGAGAGGGGCCTCCTCACAGTTAGGATGAAGGAATGAGACAGCAGATGGCAGCATAGACTGAACAACTGGAGAACAGATAGGGACATAAGCATCTAGAGGATGCCAAAAACAAAGGGATGCCAATGTCTAAGGGCCATCTGGGGCAATGCCCACCTCAATGGAAGACAGCAGAGACAGATGACAACCAAGGACACCCAGCCCCAAGGCTGAACTCAACAGAGACATGGGAAGGGCACAAAGGCTTGCTTGACTGAGAAGATTCTGAATTGATGGAAAACAAATTAATAGATTTAATCTGAATTGACTGGAGTATGATTGTGCTCTCAGAAGGACTGTAGGTTCAAAAGAGATTAAACAGAGTCATAGAAATAATAGAGGCCCAGTTATTAAGCCCCTGAGAAATGTGATTCAGACTTGTGCCTAATACAGTCCTCTTTACAGTCATCACACAGAGCTCCCTAGATAGGGTTGCCACATTGAACAAATGAAAATACCCAAGGCCCAGTTAAACTTGTTTCAGATAAACAATCCATTAATTTTTAGTACAAGTATGTCCCACACTATATTTGGGACATATTTATACTGAAAAATTATTTGTTCTATATCAGAAATTCTAATTTGGCTGAAGTTCCTGTATTTTATCTGGCAACCCTATTCCTGGAGCGTCCTCCCCTGGATAAGGCCCACCACACAGCTTTCCCCTTTTATTGGAGTTTAGGAAAACACTGCTGTCTCCCACTCAGACAAAAATAATGATTGAAAAACCATCAAAAAAGTAAAAGTAAGCAGACAGAAAACACACCACATAAACACACCGGAACAATCACCAAAAAAAGTAAAAAGGAATAGAGGGGAAAAAAAAAAAAAAACATTATCTGGGGAGGAGGCAATAAGAGAAAAGATGCAGAGTAGGAGAATAATGAGGAATAAAATGGGGAAAAAAGTAAAAAGAAAAACAAGGAATGGGGTTAACCACAAGAAAGAAAAAAATGGGAAGCAGAGACAGGGAAGAGAGAAAAGACTAAAAATTAGAACCTGGGAAGGGGATAATAAAGAATAATAATAAAAAGGATGACCAAAAAAATAATAATAGTAATAATTTTAAAACAGACAAAAACAAATAAATTGAAAAATAATCTGGGCAGGGTGGGCCAGGACTCACACTAAGCTGTCAACACTGGCCAAGGCCTACCTTCTTCAGAAGCCATGGTGTCTGAATTTGTCTTTTTCTTTGTAAAAGTCCAACTATAGTCTTCAATCCAGCGTTTCAGAATCAATTCCCAGAGATCCTGGATAGAGATCACCTCCAAGTATTCCTTCATACATTGGTAGTCATTTCTGTAGATCCTACATTCTTTAAATTCATTAGCTAGGATTGTGAGTTTTAAAGGATTTAGGTTTGTTTTCTTCTTCAGAGCTTGTCTACTCTTTCGGAAGGGATCATTGCTGGGAATGGAGAGATGCTGTCTAAAGATGTTTAGTTTTGCTTCTTCATCTCCTAGGCTAATGAGTTCCACTGTCCTCACATCTGGGCGGGCACACAGAGACTTGCAGGACAGGCTGGAGGAGACAGTACTCATGATAAATTTGCAATGAGGAGAGAGTGAGCATGGCAGCCAGGAAAAATCTTTTGCCTGATGGAGAGATTCAAAGATATTTTAAGAATGTAAAATAACCCTGCTGATGACTGTGAAACTTAGGATAGGTGGACTATAGGGAATAAGTATAGGGTGAGGGCTGGGGTTACAATCATTAGTAGTAACTTGTGATAGTATCAATGTGGTGATAATACCAATTCATACTCAATATAACCATACTTGACTGACTCAGGGGCAGATTACCCAATAAGCAAGATAAGCATGGACTTACTTGTGCTTACTTACTAATCTGTAGTGATTAGATCTGTTCACTCCTGATTAGTAAGTAAGCACAAGTAAGCCCGTGCTTATCTTGCTTACTGGGTACTCTGTTCCTATCCAAAAAGCAAACCCACTGCCATCAAGTCGATTCTGACTCATAGTGACCCTGTAGAACAGAATAGAACTGCCTCATAGGGCTTCCAAGGCTATAAATGTTTATGGAAGCAGACTGACTCATCTTTCTCCCACAGGCCAGTTGGCAGGTTTGAACCACCATCCTTTGGTTAGCAGCTGAATGATTAAAGCACTGTACCACCAGATCTCCTTTAAACTTGAAAGGAGGCTTTGACTCTGTAGGAAGATGCTGTGGAGTAGAGAGAAAGACATACACCTGCAGTTATATACCTAGAAGCAGAATCTTTGATGTGAAAAAATGTGAAACTGTTCACGACAGATTAGTAAGCAAGCTTGTGTTTCCCTTGCTTATTGGGTAATCTGACACTGGACTGACTCACCTGTATGTCATGAATCTGCAAATGTGAACACCAAAAAGAGGTTCCTACAAGAAGCACTGTGGCAAAAGCACATATTTCTGAAGAATAGCCTAACTGTGACAACCAAAGAGAAATAGAGTACAAACTGAACCAGTCATTAGAAAAAGATGACCTTATTTTATACTGAAGAATTGTCACTTTTGAGCAGCAATACTATCATAAATTAAACAGTTTGATTTGGAATAAAATAAACATCTAGTAAGATCTTTTCTGGATTGCTTTAAAGAGCCTTTCCCATCTCACTTTGCTTATTAACTATCATTTACTGACTTCTTGCTCTGTGCCAGTCACTGTTTTGAGTGTGTATCTCAGGTAGACTCATTCAATTCTCCTAACAACCTCTGGGAAGGCAGGGGAGGGAAATGAAGGACATAGGGGCTGAATGTCTTCCCTAACTCATTCTGCCTGGACCCAGCAGAGCTGGGATTCAAACAAGGGTCTGGCTCCAGTGACAGCCTCCAAACCACTGTGCTAAATTGCTTCAGGTAACTGCTTGCCAGGTCTTCCTCTTCCTGCACAGCCCACTGAGGCTTTCTTCCAGGAAGCCTTTGCTGCAGGTCAAGACTCTTCAGGAGAAGCACTCATGATGCTACACACTTATTCATGGCACCGCTATCACAGAGGCAACTCTATACTTATTTGTCTGATGCTTATTTTAATATCTGTTGTTCCCCACTAGGCTAAAAGCTCCATGTCTTTGTAGTGACCATGTCTGTTTTGGCTCACAATGACTTGCCCACAGTAAGTGGTCAATAATTATTTGTTGAATACATGGTGGTTGCCATGTAATAAGCTAAAAAAACAAGTTACTAAACAATATGGTATGCAATCATAGATATATTCAGAAAATATATTTGTTGTGCTTGTTGACTTCAACTCACAACAACAACATTATGTATAACAGAACAAAATGCTGCCCAGTCCTACACCAATATAAAAGAAGGCTATACAGTTGCAAGCAGCCATCTAGATCCAATGATGGTTCTCTCCTTGTCTGGAGCAAAGAAGAATGAAGAAAACCAAAAATGCATGGAAACAATTAGTCCAAGGGACTGGTACACCATGCAATCCTCAGCCTATATGACCATGAGATCAGAACTAGATAGTGCCCAGCTACCACTGTCAACCACTCAGAGAAGGATCTGTGTAGGAGATCCTAGATAGAGTGGGAGAACAATGTGGAACAAAACTCAAAATTATTTTTAAAAAACAGAGACCAGTCTTGCTGGCCTGGTAAAGCCTGGTGAAACCCTTGAGACTATGGCCCCTAGCTGCCCTTCAGGT